CATGCATAAGTCTACTTAGCCTACCGATTGTAACCTAACACAGCACATTGTAAAGCATCCATTTGCCCTCATGATTACATCGCTGACTGGAAGTTGCAGCTCATTGCTGCCATTGGGAAAGAGAGCAGTTTACTGCACATCTATATTCTGGGAAAGGATGAAAATTGGAAGTAATTTCTAGTGAATGCATGCATCAGTGTCATACCACTGTAAAGTTCCACAAATAGTAAATCAAACCATTTTAAGTCAGGGACCATCTATAGCTCTGAGAGGTCAAAGATGACAAAGCACAGAACACTGTCCACTTGTTCCAAGTAAACAGAACAAGACCCCCTGCAATAGAGCTGAGTTCTAAAGGGCTAACTCTTCCCTGGGGGTGAAAGTGAAATATTATCTGGGAGCGTCAGTTGCTTTTGTACCAAGCCCGGGTTAAGAGGCATCTGCCTGGCCTTTGTTTGAGGGTGGGCTCCACAGCATCTCCTGCCTGGTCTGCCCTCTTGCAGAACCCCTATTTTCTGGACGTTACCTCCTCTAGGCTCAGGGAGGACCCAGTTAGGCTGCTGCTGGCCCTAGTCTCAGACTTTCCCAAGGGGCACTGTTCTACGTTGCTTTTGGAAAGAAAATGTGACTTAACTAAGAAAAGAGGAGCAAATGATGAGGACTCACGTGACATCAGTATGCACCTGTCTCTTAGCCTGTGTTGCAGCTCTGTGATTTCCAGAAGGAAGCAATGAAGCTAAAATAATTATTTTTATAAGACAGTCACCCAGAGGATGAGCAGTACTTCAGAAGAGTTCAGAGTAGAACAGAATACAAATTTGAAGAGAGAGGTATGACCCTGACTCTGCCTGTTTTCAGCACCCCCTAACCACATCACTGCAATTGGTGAGTGGTATGTACTTAAATACCATATAAAAGCTGACATTTAAAGCTGATGTAAGTGAAATCACAGTGTGAATAAACCCTTTTTGTGTCTGGTTTATTTAATATAATGTCTTTGAGATTCACCCATGTATATGGGAGATGGCTGTGTAGCATTCTAATTTTATGAATAAACCATAATATGCCCATTCTTCTGTTAATGGACATTTGAGTTTATAGAGAGCTGGCTCCAGCCTTGTCATAGTCCAGAGGAGTCCACATTTGTAATCCCAGGGAAAAGTTATTGGAATTCTAGTGAGTAATTTCCATCGACTACTTCCAGTGCAACCTACTACAAGAATAGGCAAATACTCTATCTGCAGTCCAAGGTGGTCCTAAGTCCAGTCAGAAAAATGGCTAACCAGAACAAAGGCCACAACCCAGGGCCCAACGAAGGTTTTACTAATTCATGAAGAGGGGAGTAGCTGGGAATTGAGTGACTGTGAGAATAGTGGGAAGTACATGAGTACCATGAGTTGGGCTAGGTAGGATGAACAACAGCACCTCTGCAGTATGCAGAAAGTATGCGGAAAGATTATTCAGTTCAGGTAACAGGTAGACTCTAAGTTTGAAGGAATCTGTGTAACACAGTTTGGGGAAGTATTTTGTGATTTTGGTCAGAGCCCCAGCTTTGATGTCTGGCCCCCTCTGCTCTGAGACCTGAAGGGGGCTCTTCTTGAGCCTCAGTCTCAGTGGGTAGCTTAACTCACTCTTAGTAGTAGGGAGCTATAGGGAGGGCATCACTGACCTATCGCATTGCACCTTGGCTAGACCCATTTGCATTGCTTAGAGTCAATTGATTGGGTAAAATATTATCCTAGCCAGCTCTGTACATATCAATATGGAATTGGGGCAAGGTTTAGCCAACATGGAGACAAATGATTTTCTTTCAAAGAGAGCTGTCCAGATGGTCCTCCACTTTAGTTGTTCCTGGTTTGGGGTTATTATGAAGAAAAGTACTCTGAACAATTTTGTATGTATCTTTTGGTGGATCCATTATATTTCTTTTTAACTGGCTTTTTGCTGACATCTACTAAATCTATTGATTTTAGTATGCTTATTTAGAATTTGGCTATCTTACTAAATTCTAAAAGATTTTTCAGTTCATTTTCTTGAAACATACTTACATCAGATAGAAAGCTTTTAGTCTCAAGTCATAGAAAAACTAACTCAAATTGGATCAAGACCAAAAGAATATATATTTGTTCCTATAACTGCAGAGTTCAGCATTGGTCTAGCTTCAGGCAAAACGTGATCCAGAGGGCAGGATATCATCTGGACCCATCTCCATTCTATGGGTTTCTCTTGGATTTACTCTCCTTCGTGAGCTTCCTTTGTCCTCCTCTTCACAGGAGCAACAATTGCTACATCAGTTGTCCCTCACAGGTGCAATAGTTGCTATAGCAGTTCCAGAACGCATGTGCTTACCACACCATCCAGAGGAAAGGTACATTCTGAGGGACATGAATGAAGACAAAAGTCTTTAAGTCTTTAGTTAATGTTGCCTCAAATATCATTGGTCCAAATTAGATGATATGCCAATATATGAGCCAATTAAGTGGTGTGATGGATAGGATAGTCTTCCCTACTTGGCTTAATTTAAGTAGAGACAATCTTTGTCCTGAATGGAGAGGTGGTTCTCACCAAACCACATGGCTGCAGGGGGTGAGATTCTGAAAGGAATTATAGAAAGCTTTTGATTGAAGAAGGGAAGTGATGCTGGAGAAGCAACCTCACAATGTTTATTTTTATAGCAAGTACATTGATATTGCCTGTAAGGGTTATTTATTGTCTCATATCAACATTAATAGTGCTCAGCTTTGTCTCTTCATTCAAATGTTGGCCAGAATATAGGGTCTTTCAGCTTACAGAAAATGATGAAAATGGTTTTAAGCTTATTGAAAAGTGTTGGGAAGAATGTTTATAAAGAATGTAGAGGATGTAGAAAGTTTTAAGAAGCAAATGCTCCCTAATATTGTATGTGTAATATGAAGATGTTCAACACCAGCCTAATGCCAAGGATCTATACAGGAAGGGACCAAATCAAGAGGTGGTTGAGACTGGCCTGACAGTGTGGGATAAACTACTTTTCTGTTGCTGTGTAACAAATTATGAAATTTTTGTCTTAAGCCAACCTAGTTTTATTACTTCACAGTTTTTGTAAATCGGAGGTCCAAACACAGTTTAGCTTAGTTCTCTACTCAAGCCTGAAATCAAAGTGATGACTGGGCTGCATTTTTGTCTGGTACTTTCAAGTTGCTGGCAGAGTTCAGTTTCTTGTGGTTATAGTACTGAAGTCTGGTTTCTTGCTGGTTGTTAGTTGGAGGCTATCCTCAGGTATCTGCTGCATAGCCCTGACACAGCATGTCAGTTTAACTCTTCAAGGTCAGTGGAAAATGACTTCCCAGTCTGCTATGACAAAGTTTTACACAGCATAAGGAATTGTGGGAGGACTGTATTCTATGCATGTTTCTAGTTTCCCATTCTTTGATACAGGAAGTAGAAAAAAAATAAGAATGATAGAACATCCTTCCCTACCCATAAGTCTGCATTTGAGTTTGCCTACACAATTTTCTCATTTATAGAAGCCAATGGCTCTATTTTTTGTTATTTGACCAAGGAGGCTGCAAAGAGAGTATATGGAAATGAGCTCTAAAGGTCAAGGAAAGGTGAAGTTCTGTGGAGATCTGGACCTCTTTTACTATAGTAAAGTATAATATAATAAGTCCCACATGGTAGATGTTCATTACATGATAGTTCTTTTCACATCTCTCCCTTCCTGAGCTACACTGCAGCAATGACATGTCTCATGACTTCAAAGGACATTCTTTCTAGAAGAATTCTTACTCTACTTAATGTTTGTGACATTGCCTCTAGGAAAAGGTAGTGGAAATTTTCAGTGAAAATTGCTAATTTAAGCTACCATGGGAATTAAGAATGCTCATGGTTAGAATATTTCTTCCTTTTAGCTATGTGAATTTGGACAAATGACTTAGTATCTCTGACCTTCAATTTCCTTGTCAAGGGAATGGACGTGGTAGTATGCAGGTAAACTATATAAAGCACTTTCTCTAGTTCTGGCACATAATAAATGGTTTAAAAATCTGATCTCTTTTCATCTCACTTAACTTTCCAAGGAAACTTATTAAATTGGAATTATGATTATGATTATTGTCCATATTTTCAGGTAAGAACCCAACAGTCAGACAGTTTCAGTGTTTCCCATGGTACTGTGATACTTAGTGATAGTTATTGATTATATGTCAGGCTTTTCCTTCCACTCTGCCTGAACAGTAGGATGGAGTTCCATAAATGTCTTGTCAGGTTGACAGCATGTCTTAGGAAGAGATTAACCACCTCTGCAAAAAATAGTCAAGCTTTAGAAATATCAGATGATACAATAGATTGAACAGACTTCGATATTTTTCTTTGCCCACGTCTTCAAATAAAATCGGAATTAAGAATGTGTGCAAAGGTTTAGCTACAGGATGTTCATCATAACTTGTTTATATAATCCAAACTGTAGAAATGTTCAATAGTTAAAGTTCAGTTGTGGTTCATACATGCAGTAAAATATGCTACATCAAAAAGCAAAATGAAGGGCTTGGGGTACAGTTCAGTATTAGAAAGCTTGGCTAGCTAGCACGCACTTGATCCTTGTTTCCCTCCCTGGCACTGCAAAAATAAAAGAGAAAATTAATCCTTACATTTTTCTAGACTGAAAAAAAGGACAGTGTTACATGATAAAAGAAGATTAGAAACTAGGTCATGAAGGATGAGTCTACTTCATAAAAACAGAATATATGTTGTTATATATAGTAGATATATAATACACACATATATGCATATAAAAGCATTGGAAAGGTATCAACAAAATTATCTGTGTTTGTCTGTCTTGAAAATGGGGAAGCGTTATGGTTATTTTGAATTTTCATTTGTGTGTGCCTGGAAGGGGATTCTTTATTTTCTGACTTTTATGGGTTAGAAAATCAATTCTAGTTATTAGAAAAAGGAAAAGGGGAAGAGAAAGAGAGATGCCTCAAGTCTCCATGTGTGCTGACACTGGCTGATCATTTCAGGTGATTGTGAAGACAAGAACAGAGTACCAGCCAGAACAGAAGAACAAAGGGAAGTTCCGGGTGCCAAAGATCGCAGAGTTTACGGTCAGTTTCTCATTGGTGTAGGAGAGAGTAAAGGTAAGGCTGGCAGCAGCCAGCTCAGCAGCCTTGTTCTGGGAAAGCAGGTGTCCCTGTGGATTGTAAAAATGACCCTGGTTGTTTTTGGAGGTTTTCTTAAAGCCACACTGTCGCTGAATTTTTAATCAAAGGACAAGAGTTCTACATGTGTACTTTTATATTGATGTTCTGATAAACCTTCTTTTATTCTTTTGTTTTTCTTGTCTCCTTCTTCCTGCATTTTCATCACTGTCTTCTGAAAGTATGATGGTAACATATAAAAAACTCAAAACTTTGTCAGTGGATGCAAAAAAGACAAAGGGAAAGAAAAGTGGACTTGATAGTACAAACCTCACGGTCAATTTTCGATTTCTTAGTGGAAGAGTCTGAAACACTGACAAATATGTATCACTGGCTGTGATGAGTTGCATGACGGAGCCATGAAGCAAGCTCTATAAGGATGTAAAAAGAGACCATTTAGGAGTTAAGAGGCAGGAGGAGGGAGTAAATTTAAGTAGGCACAAGGTTGCTTGTGGCGGAAGAGAGCACAACCTATGCAGGGGCTCTGAGGAATAAGGGCAGTGCGAGGGCTGGGGAGCAGCAGAGATGAGGCCGGGGAAGTAGGCAGAATGCAGACTGTTCCAGCCCTGGAAAGCAATAGGAAGACGCTGAAGGATGTTAAGAGGAGGAGGAACATGACTGAATTAAGGCTTTGCAAAGAGCATGCTGTCTTTTAAGTGGTTTAGTGGGTGTAGCAGGCAAGAGGGAAAGGGGGGCGACTACTAGGTACAATAATCATCCAAGTAAAAACCAGCAGTGGCTCAGACAAAGATAGTGGGTGGGTAGAGCCATGCAGGCAGACCTAGAAGATAGTTAGGAGGCAAAAACCAGGCAGGAGTCTTCCTGCACACTGGTTCTATGGCTGGATACTGGATCAGGCTGGTGGGTTTGAGTCTTGTTTCCACCTTTATTACCCGCATGTCTACAAGTAAGTCATGAAGCCTCATTTATCAAATGAAGATAATACCAGGGTTCGGTTTGAAGATAAAGTGTACAATGCATGTACAGAATAAATAAATAGTAGCTCTTTTGTGTCAACTTTGACTGGGGGCTTTGAAAGTGAAGCCAGTCCTTTGTTGGTTACCTGGGGGAAGCTGTCTTTCTGCACTCTAAATCTGGTTCAGTTGGGTGTGTGAGCCTGAGCAGGAATGTGGCACATCCACTGTTATGCCCCCTTTTGAGGACATGACTGTTCCCTTAATGTTTCTTTGGTGTATGCCACACAGTGTGATTATAGACCTGGTTCCAGTTACACATAGGGACCTACAAGAACAAGCATGCACCTGCAGGAATGAGCACCTCGCTCTGAGAGGAGGCTGTGGTATCTTGGTACATAATGTGCATGCACCAGGCAAGCAGTAAAACTGATCTGGCAATGGAGGTCACAAGAAGTATGCCCAGACAAGAATGTATCTTGCCAGGCAATTTATAAAATCAGAGTATTGGACATTGTTAGACTTTTCAACAACTTTCTTGTGATTCCATAAAGAAAATCACAACTGTGTGACAGAATATTTTTCAGTGTCATAAGAATCACTTTTACCAGAGTGCTTTCAGAGAGTCTTATGAGATAGTTTTATCTTCTTTATTACGCTTGCCATATTTTTATAATAAATGTGTATTGTCATAATAATCAGACAAAATAATAATTATTTTCTTAACATTTTTTGTTCCTTTTCCCAGAATGTTAAGAGTATTTAATGAAATCATTCCATACCCAGAGTATTTCAAATCATGGCTATGAAGATACACAGTATTTTAGGAAAGGCTTAAGACAGAATATTGAGTAAAAGAAAGCAGTAGTTAAAGTATTGTTCTTGGGCAGGGGATATAGCTCAGCGGCATAAGCACCTGGCTGACAAGTGCAAGTCCTGAGTTCGATTCCTGGTACCAAAAAAAAAAAAAAAAATTAAAAGAAATAGTTTTGTCCTTTCTAGGGTTGGAACTATGAGGAAACCCACAAGTATAGAGGGAAAACAACCTGGCAAAAAGGAATTATGGTGCTGCCTGTGGCTGTATTATCAGTCGTGATGTTGGACCATGTCATATTTTCTCTCATCTTTGATAGCTTTTGGTTATGTGACTATTTTACCAGTTAAATGTGAGATACTGATATTCAGCAGCCCCGACCCCAGAGTTTCACTTTCCCAGGTTTCAGTTACCCACAGTCAACTCCAGTCCAACGATATTAAGTGAGAAGTTCCAGAAGTAAACAATTCACGGATTTAAAATCTGGCCCACTGTGAGTACTGTGATGAAATCCCATGCTGTCTCACCCTGTGAATCATCCTTTTATCCAGTGTACCCATGTTATATACACTACTTGCCTGTCAGTGACTTCGTAGTTGTCCCGGTTACTAGACTTGTCATGGTTATCATAGTGGTTGGATTCAGTCACCTTTATTTTATTTAAATGGCCCCAAAACAAAAGAATAGTGATTCTGGAAATCCTCATATGTGCCAAAGAAGAAAAATAAAGTGCTTCCTTTAAGTGAAAAGATGAAAGCTTCTGACTTAATAAGGAAAAAACAATACTGAAGTTGCTCAGATCTATGGTATATTAGTATTGTTATTCCTTTACTGTATTGAATTTATAAACCAAGTTTTATAATGGTGTGTGTGTACACTATAGGAAAAAGCATAGCATATATAGGGCTTGGTATTATCTGAGGTTTCAGGCATCTACTGGATCCATAATGGTGAAACCGTTAGAGCTTTTAATGATATAAACAGCCAGTTGAGGCACACGTGCTGCAGCTTTGCCACGAGTGCAGTGGGTGTCTGTCCCCCATGGATAAGGGGTCTACTCTAACTCCCTGTCTTTCAAGGGGGAATGGCTCAAATGGCTCAGAGAGGTGACATAATCTGCTCATCCGGGTACCCACTGGCAGAGCTGATGTTCAGAATGAAGCCTGACTGGGCTTTCCTTTCAGCCGTGCTGCCTGCAGGAGTAACTACCAGTTAGGACAGAAATAAGTCAGCTCTGAGGAAGGCATGGTGTGGTTAGGGTGCAGGGCCTGTGCAAGCCCCCCATGCAGTTCGGCCCAATTAGTCCTGGAGGTCTGAAAGGAAAGGATTTGTGCTTCTGCAGCAGCGCTTTGTCAACATTGTCAGGCATAGGTGGAGGACAGCCTGCCATTTGGAAAAAAAAAAAACGTGGAATGAAGCAAATTCTTATTTGCTTATATAGAGCTACAAGCATTAATTAGTCTGCTTCTTCTGCTTTCTTCAAGAGAGCTCTCCCTGGTCCCTGTGGAGGACACATCAGCTGGCTGGAGGGTGGATGTGGGGAGAGGAGGAGGCGGCTGTGGTGGTAATTAAGAAGAGTCTGAGGGTCTGAGCTGAGTCAGCTCACTGGGGCTTAGGGACCCAAGTGCGGCTGTGTGCCGTTAAAATTCACAAACCTTGTTTCTAGTGGAGAAAGGGAGCCTGGGGGAATCCATGGTAATTTTCTTGTCTCCTGGGGTCCAGTAAAGTAGAAAACTTGGGAGATGCAGTGAGTGTGAGGTGACAGGAAGTTGTGGGTGGGGTCTTGCTGCACTTAGATGTAATTCATGGGTCTGCAGCTAAGGTTGCAAATTTAAGCCATAAAATGAAGGCTGGACTTAGAAATTTACAGTCAGTCTTAGACATCTCTGTGCTGGCAAATAGTTGCTGGGTCTGTGTCCTTGGGATATGTTGCCTGGGGCAAAGTTACCTTTAGGGATGATAAGTTGCATCCTTGTCACTGGTCACTGTCATCACTTCATTGGGTGATTTCAAATTTCAAAATTGTGATTTCCAGCAGCTTGTGACTTCAGATTTGAAGAGTGACTTGGAAAGAGAAGTTTATAGCAATCATGTCATCAGAGAGAAAAGGAAACAGAAGCAGGGTAGGCAGAATTGAGGAAAGATTGGCTGAAGGAAATACCTGGGATTTTTGTCATTTCTAAAGCAAAAGAAGTTCTCACAGTCACTATAAAAGAGCATGTATGCGCAATATTTTCAGCAAGATAATTTGAGCCAATGGGAGGGTATAGAGGGGGAATTTCCCCTTCTTTCTGTAGCCTAGGAACCAGAGACTCTTCTACAGCTGACTTTGCTACAGAGGATGCTGGTGTCAGGGAAAATGTTGGTGCAGTGGGAAGCATGGTGCTATTCAGTGTACTGGTACTATGATAAGTGGTGGTTCTGTGGAGGTGATGATTTTATGAAAGGTTCTGGCACTATGGAAAATGGTGATATAGAAGGTGGTGGTACCATGGGGATGTTAGTTCTATGGAAACTGGTGTTGCCAGGTGTTGATGGTATGGAAGATGCTTGTTCTTTGTAGGATTTTGGTGCTGTAGACAATGTTGTTCCTATAGAAGGTGCTGGTGCTATTCAGGGTGCTAGTATTGTGAAAAGTACTCCTGCTGTGGAAGATGTTGATTCTGTAGAGATGTTGATGGTGGGGATGATGCTGTTGCTGTTGGAGATGCTGGTGACATAGAAGGTGCTAGTGCCATGCGGGAATCTAGTTCAACAGTGTGTGCCAGTGCTATGAAAAATTTTGGTGCTATGAAGGATGTTAGTGTTGTAGAGGATGTTGGTGCTATATGGAGGGTACTGATGCTACATGTAAGGTGCCATTGCTTTGGAAGGTGGTGGTGTTAAGAGTACCAGTATTATGGAAAGTACTGGTCCTATTGAAGTTACTGGTCCTATTGAAGTTACTGGTCCTGTGGGAAATGTTGGTGCTATGAAAAGTGCTAGTGGTATGAAGACTCTTGTGCTAGGAGGGGTGCTATGGTAGGTGCTGATGATATGGAGGGTGCTAGTGATATAAATGATGTGTGTGTTGGGGAAGATTATGCCTTGGAAGATGCTGGGGAAGATTATGGAGGATACCCCATTGTTCCAGGGCTGGTTCATTAGTGGGAACTCATGTTCTATTTGGAAGCTGTTGT